TAATGATGGTTTTGCTTCCTCTTTTCTGATTTTTTTAACCTCTCGTTTCTTTGTCCATTTTGATGTCAGTGTTACATAGTAGTGATGGAGTGTGCTGGGGGATGGCCTTGTCTTGTTAGGTGTTGAAGAATCACATATCTCTTCCCTGTTTTGTTAGGAATTTATGCCAGGAGTGGTGATTGAATTATCAGATGCCTTCTCAGCATCTCTGACGCTGGGACAGTCGTAAGATGTTTTGTTTTGATTTTTCTGTGGGTCTATTAATATGATGTAGTGGTGAATGTCTGACATTATATTAAACTATACTGTGTCTTTGCATTATTTTACTTGATTATGGCGTATTACTCTTTCAGTTGTTGCTTGGTTTATGTTGGCTGATATTTTACTTGGAATATTTTTATTGATATCCATAAATGGACATTTTTCTGTAGGGGGTGTGTGTGTGAATTTGTTTGGCATTTGGGGGTTCTTTTTCATAAAACAGATTTAGAAGGACCCCCCCCCCAACCCTACTACCACCACCACTGTGCTTTGGAACAATTTGAATAGCTTTGGAAATGTCTGTTCCTACCTGATTTACAAAAACACCTGATTCTGATGGTTTTTGTAGAAGCTGAGTATGTATTTCAGGTGACAAAGAGAATACAAAATCCTTTTGTTACCTAAACGTAGAATAATTGACTTGGCAAAACTTTTTTAGTTTAGTAAAATTTACTCCAATTCAAGAGGTTAAACACACATACATACACATATGACTATATGTGTATTTGTTCATGTGTATGTATATATCATACCTGTATATGTGTATATGCATGTCCATGTGTAAAAGGTTGGACAATTAAGTTCGCAGACTCATCCTAGAAAAAGTGCTACATACCTCATTGCTGAATATCACTACAGTCACCTTCGAAATACTCCCCTTGGGAAGCTATGCACTGACACCAGTGCCTAGTCCACCCTTCAAAGCAATTTTCGAACTCTTTTTCTGGAATGGCCATCAGAGCTGTCGTCGTATGACCCTTGATGTCCTGAATGTCATCAAAATGTCTTCCTTTCACTATTTCTTTTATCTTCAGGTAAAGAAAGAAGTCATTGGGGGCCAGATGAAGTGAGTAGGGAGGGTGTTCTAATACAGTTATTTGTTTACTGGCTAAAAACTCCCTCCAGACAGTGCCATGTGAGCTGGTGCATTGTCGTGATGCAAGAGCCATGAATTGTTGGTGAAAAGTTCAGGTCATATAACTTTTTCATGCAGCCTTTTGAGCACTTCCAAATAGGAAACTTGGTTAACTGTTTGTCCATTTGGTACAAATTCATCATAAATATTACCTCTGATATCAAAAAAGGTTAGCAACATTGTTGTAACAAGTTTGCAAACTTAATTGTCAGACCTCGTATTCGTTCATGTGTGTATGTGCATGTATATGTGTGTCCGTGTGTGTGTGTGTCCATTCCTGTGTGTCCATGTGTGTTTGTTCATGTGTGTATATGTGTGTATGCATGTCCATACATGTGTGTCCATTCTTCTGTGTCATGCAGGTGTATGAATATGTGTGCATCTGTGTGTGCTGCACATATGTGTATATGTGTGTGTGTGACTACACATGTGTAAAACGTGGTTTTGGACCCAGCCTTACAGGTCCTATTCTAGGCACTGACCTTACAGGATAATGGTGCAACGTGACTGCGCCCGCATGTGACACACATTTGATGTGCTTGGTGCCCCTCGGTCCTGGCAGGCAGGTCTTGTGCAGCAGGAGACCTGTGCTAATCAGCAGTGGGGGCTCGGTTGGCTGGCAGTGGGGGGCATGGGTGGGCCTGTTACCCTACCACCCGAGCAGCCACGGGGCAGGCCAGGCAGTTGGAAAAGAAGAGGGAAGGGCTGAGGGTAGCGGAGCAGTGGCCTCTGGCTTGGCGGTTAGGCCCTTGGTGGCGCGCCTGAGGGAGCTGGGCCTGGAGGTTCAGGGACGGGTGAGACACAGTCTGCGCCCTTCAGACTCCCCACCGGGCGTGAGGAACACACCCAAACAGGCAAATTTGTAGACAGCAACGCGAGAGTGCCGAGAGGAGCACCAGGCGATGAGTGGTTGGGGATCTAGCTGGTGTCGGGGCCCCACCAGTGAGGTGCCTTACCAGGTGTTCGGGACATGTTGGAGGAAGGAAATGACAGAATTGTTCTGTGAGGGAGCAGCCTAGGTGTGCAGGCCACCCCAGGACAGGCGAACACCCAGCTGGGGCTGCGGTGTTCCTGGTGAGGCCTGTAGAGCCTCCCATCTCCACCCTGCCTCCAGTCCTGAGGCGACATGATCAGCTTTGGCAACAGGGAGAACAGCGAGGAAGGACTGCCATGGTCATCCTGGTGGAAGGGGGTGAAGGTGTGGAGAAGAGACATGGCTTTGAGAGAACTTTCTAGGGTGGTCTTAAAACCGGGGCTTGTGAAGTTTTCACAGGAGTTGGTTGCAGCAAACAGCAGGATTTCCCTGATTGCTGAGCCGTTCACCACCTCGAGGGGACCTGAGAAGCCCAATGCCCACTAGAGCACTGGCAGCCCCTCCAGTGCCCACTGACTGACCATGTGAGAGGGGCTCTGAGGAGCTGGTGTTAGCGGGACAGACCCACAAGGTTCGCTGTCCCTTACAAGTTGCATTCGCCGTGTGAGCTCGCTGTAGCTCCCCTTCCATGCTGGCGGGGTGCGCCCCATGCTGTGCCCCTTGGTTATGGTGGGGCTCAGTTGGATCCCTTCAAATAAGAGCTCTCATTTTAGGAGCGAGAACACAACTTGGGCACACAGCGTGGAAGTCTGCCGGGTAAACCCTCAGGACAATGGCGATTTACTTCTCCCCGACTAGCATGTATTATTTCTGAATTACAAAACTGGCATGGTTTTGATGAAGAATTTAATGAATAAGGTAAAAGTGAAGGCCCTGGTCCCCATTGCCCACCTCTGTTCAGTCCTCCTGTGGTGGTTACCTTTAAAGATGGGTGTACAGCCTCCCAGACTTGGGGTATGTATTTTATGCAATGGAATCAAATTATATACCCTGTATAGACATGAAAACTTTTTTTCTTTTTTTTGGTAATTTTTTTTTTAATTGGGAAATTGGGGGAGGGGAACAGTGTTGGGGAATTGGGGAGGGGAACAGTGTTGGGGAATTGGGGAGGGGGAACAGCCAAGTTGTTCTTTAATCTTAATTGTGGAGGGCGCCAGTCGCCATCTGGCTGCCCGTTGACAGCTAATGGCCTCTAAGCTCAAGGTGCCGAGTTCAGTCTTAGTTGTGAGTGAGCGTAGCCACCATCCCATGTGGGAGTCGAACCGGTAGCCTTGTTGTTAAGAGCACACGCTCTTTCCACTGAGCCATCCGGACGGCAGCTCAGCTCAAGGTGCCGAGTTCAGTCTTAGTTGCGGGCGGGCGTAGCCACCATCGAACAGGCAGTCTTGTTTAGGAGCACGTGCTCTCACCAGCTGAGCCGTCCTGCCACCTGTTGGCAGCTCAGTGGTGGCTCAGCTCGGGCACAGCGTCCCTGGCCCATGTAGAATTGAACCAGCGACCCTGTTGCTCAGAGCTCGTGGTCTTAAGCTAACTCTTAACCAACTGAGCCACTTGGCCGGCCCCCAAAACTTGTTTTCTTGATTAAACTAGTCTTGGACTTTATTTCATGATCGTACAGACAGGGTTCTGTGTTCTTTTTAAGGGTTGCATAACTCTCAGTTATGGATATATCAGTTCTTTACTCAGTTTGTCCTTGCATATTTAGCTCTGTCTAGTTGTGTGAGAATATCTGTAGGAGAAAGTTCTAGAAGTAGAATTGCTAGAGAAAGGTATTTGTACACTTTATTTTTAGTTCAGAATTGTGTATTTATTATTTTGTTTTTATTAGTTTCAGGTGTACAAAACAACATAATAACTAGACATTTACACCCCTCACAAAGTGATCACCCCAACAAGCCGACTACCCCTCTGACACTGTACACAGCTGTTACAATACCACTGACTACACTCCCTATGCAGTACTTTACCTCCCGTGACTATATATCTATTTTAATTATAATTGGCTATTTGTACACTTTAAATTTTGAGGTGTTCTCAAATTATCCCAGAGGTCATGTGCACGTCCCCTCTCCTGACAGTGTGTGGATGTGGTCATCTTCCCATGGCCACACTGTCACCATCATCATCCTTCTAATCCTCTTTGGTGTCTGAAAAATGGTATCTCACCATTTTACTTAATTTATTACTAGAGGGCTTTACTTCATTTATTTCTATATGCCTAACAGCCATTTGTATTTCTTCACCTGATTCATAAGAGTGGTCTGAGAGAGAAATTATCTTTTTTTTTTTTTCAGTATGATCCTAGATTGTAACTTTGTTCAGTCCTTCTATTGAGAAGTTTTTCATTATTGTTTAATCAAATCTCTCAGTCTTTCCTTTGTGCTATGCTTAAGAAGATTTTACTTAACCCAGGATTGTAGAAATATTCTGTTTTAATCTAGTCTTTAGTCCACTGGAATTTCTTTTTGGGACCAGCGTGAACCAGGGATCTAACTTCCTTTTTCTTCTAAATGAAGAGCTGGTTGCCCCACCTCATTAACAGTCCATGCTCTTCTCACTAATGTGAAATGTTACCAAAGAATAAGTCATTCTTTGGGACCTTATGCAAACATGGACTTTGAGACCCACCTTTTTAGTAAATATCAGGATTTGGTCAAATGTTTACTGAGGCCCATAATGGATTCTGTAGCTGAAAGTTGCAAAGAAAAATGACTAAAGACACTGAGAATGTAAGATGGAAGGAGCGTTTCAGCCTTATTTTGGGGTCAGTTTCTGAGCACAAAGTCCCAGGCTCACTTATTTGCTGCGCGATGGTTTGTAAGCCTTCCTGGAAGGTGAAGTGAAGCGGGAATGAAATGGCATGAGATGCCACGTGCAGGAGTCGCTCTGTGCATCAGTTCTTTAAAGTCATGTAATCTTCTTCATGCTTTTTCTCACCTGTCACCACAGCCGAAATCGGATGGCCAGGTATTACTGACACAAGTGTGGAAGCGTCTGAATCTGATGGAGTACGACTACTTCGGGCTGGAGTTCCAGAATGTTCCATCCTTCTGGGTATGTGCTTCTTGTCTGCCTTTGGGAAGAGGCCCTAGGTGTGTCGTCAAATGCTCATGGCGCACACGGGTCACAGAGGACCTACTGTAGTGACATAAGCAAGATATTTGGTCACTGCACGTTCCTTCTGTCACAGCCGTACTGGGACAATGCAGCTGCAGGGACAGTGTTTGCCTTTACCTGAGCCTGCCTCGCCTCCTCCCTCTGTTGGTTCCATCTGGCTGCACACATGCCGAGGAACCCACTCTTCGTACTCTCCGTACGCACATCCTGCGGGAATCATTTTGTGGAGGGTTTTGAGCAAACTGTTTCACCAAACTGGTTACACTTCATTTCATTTAACAGGTGAATCTTTAGAAGCGCAGAACTCTGAGATTTATAGGTGGAACTGTTTTACAGAAACCACAATCAACCACTCAGTTTGAAAAGTACGGTGGAGCTTGGCCACTCCATTACACGGGCCATCCCCGCAGTTTGTTGTTAGATGCAGCATATATGCACTATATGTTTGGCCTTCTCAGGCACCCCTGATAATTGTTGGGGCCTGTTCTGTGCATGGCAGCACCAGCATCCTGTGACCTGTGGAGGTGCCCGTGTAGCCCAGCATCTCAGAGCCAGTACTGCAAGGCCTTATTTGTTCTGTCAGGAGTAGGCTTGGGGGTGTGCAGGAGGGCCCCAATATCCCTGCCTAAACGTCCCTCCTAATTCTAAATATTTTTGTGTTTTGTAACATACCAAATGGAGAAATCACGTAATGGATTTGTTCTCTTTTCTTGAATGCTCTTTAGATTTGGCTCGAACCTATAAAACCCATCATGAGGCAAGTACGAAGTAAGTGCTTTTCTTTAATTCTTTAACATTCTGTTCATTTAAGATGCTGTCCCAATCCCAGGCTTGTTCAGATGCTCACAGTCACCGCTCTGGATTGGCCGTGCAGTAATGCTGGCTGCAGGAGAACCCGGAAGTCACTCTGCTGTCTAAACACATAGATGTGGGGCTGGGGCGGGGGTGGGGTGGAGGTGTGGGGGTGCGTACTCTCTCTCATGGTTCCAGCTTACTTGCCTCGAATTTGAAAGTAATAGGACATGCTTCCTAGTATCGCTTTATGTGGCCAGTTTGCAAAAACAAGTATGTGATTTCTCTAAGCTATGAAAAAACTTTGAGGGTCTTCCTTTAATTGGCATTTTGAACAAAATAGTTAATATTGTTCTGTAATTATAAACATAAATATTTTTGTTAGCCTCTATTACATTTTACAAATTAAGGCATATGCTTCTTTGTTCTTATGTAATTGCAAGGGATGAAATCTCTAGTAGTCTGAATTCACCTGTAACTTTTTTTACCTTAAACTGAAAAGGAAAGGATGTGTGGAAGTAACTTTGTTATTCACTTGTAAGCTAGGACTGTTTAGGTCACCATAGCATGTTAGCAAAACAGTTCCTTTTTCCTTTTTGGTGCAAATGACATGGTTGTGTTATTAGAAACTTTCAGTAAAGCTAAGATACTCAGCTGAGCTCATTTATGTCTTTTCTTTACAGTAATCAGGTTCTGCTAGCTCAGTATATGAGTGATGAAGTGATGATTTTTTTTTCAGTGAAGTATAAAAGGATTTTAAAACTAATTTTTTTTATTATTACTACTAATCATGTGAACACCCTAACTTTTTTTTTATCACTTTTAATTCTAAATTATAAGAATATATTTCAAAATTTAATGTGCAATTTCCTGCCTGTCTTTAGGGTTTCCTTGAGTAATCTCTGCTTAACACAAAAGATTTAAAATTTTTCTTTTATATATATGACTGGTATGTAGGACTCACAATTTTATGCATGGGAAATTTCTTAATATCTCATTTGAAAAGATTCGCTTTAATAGTCCACTTGAAAGCGCTACCTCAGCCATACCATAATATGTGAGACGAAATAAATCAGAGATTGGCCTTATTTGTGAAGTTTACATTTTTTCTTCTTGTAGGGCCCAAGAATGCGATGCTTCGCCTAGCGGTGAAATTTTTTCCGCCTGATCCAGGTCAGCTGCAAGAAGAATATACACGGTAAAGAGCCTGTTCTGAGCTGCAGCCCCTCAGCAGGGCCTTGAATTCACCTGTGTCTCCCCCAGGTGCTCAGGGTGCATTTATTCACAGAATGAATGAGCCCAGGATGCACAGAAAACTGTCATCAGTGTGTTGTCATTAAAAATTCAAGCATTTTGGCAATTAACCCTTGAACAAACACAGATGTGAATAGGACTTGGAAGAAATGTGTGTGGTACAAATTTAAGAATAGAAAATGGGGTGTTAGGGTTCGGTTGAACAGAAATACCCAAATAAGCATGGATTTATACATGTGCATAAAGTTCTTAGGAATTTTGTCCGTATATATACTTCCTTGTCAACGAAATATGCTTAATCAGGAAGAGTACCAAATGTGGGTGGGGCAGAGACTTCCATGGTTTCCTTTGGGCTGCTCTTGAATTCAAGGTTGGTTCTTTACAGAAGTGATTGAAAGAAAACATTTATAGTTGTTTCTTCTGGGGAACGGGATTATGGAAGGTTTTTTCCTTGTTTTTTCTGTACCAATTTTATAATGAAATATAAAGCAACAACCTACTCCATCAATTAACCAACCCAAAGCACAAGGTCAGGTATGAGATGAAGGGGAACTGGATGATGTAGGAGAAACAGGCTAAGTGTCAGGCCTTCCTGATGACATATGGACTCATGCCTTCATCCTAGATGTCTAAGAGCCTCTCTTTACAAGGGTTTTGCAGGTCATTTACCATCACAAAACCGTAGACTGTCAGCTGGGGAGTAATGTTGAGATTACAGTCATTCAGCTTCTCGTTTTGCAAGTGAGGAAATGACCCCCAGGATGGCCAGAGTGTTTGTGTAGTGAACACAGAACTTAATCGCATACTAACTACCTGACATTCACCAAAAAACCCCTTTTGAGGGAATAACTTCTAAATATATGTAACTGGAAAATGATGAGTAACTGGAAATGTTACCTAATTCAGGGCCTTGAGCCCAAGCCATGTTTGTGCAGAAGGTCCTTTTTTTATTTATAAAAAATACATGTTTGTGGAAAGAGAAAAAAAATGTTAACATAAAACCGTGCAGAGCACAGAATGTCCCCCTTCACTGCCTGCCTCTCCCTCGCCCAGCACTAACGAGAGTGTGTCTTCTGGGTGAATTCACAGCAGCGCACAAGGAGACCCAGGGCTTTAAAGAGACTGTTGTCTCACGAGCAGTGTCAGACTGTGCACACGGAACACGGCTCAGCTGGTGTTTACCCATGTGCCCCTAGCAGACCGTGACATCTTTCCGTATTAGCATACCTGTGGCTGTATTAGCATACCTGTGGCTGTAACCATCCTCGTGTTGGTGCCTGTTTGGGCTATTTCCATTTCTCCTCTTATGACGCAGCAGATAAACACCCTTGTGGGCCTATCTTTGTGAACTCTGGAAACTCCTCTGGAGGAAAAGGCCATAGAAGTAGAATTGCTGAGTGACAGAGTTTGCACATTTAAATTTTAAGAGAGTACAGTGAAGTTGAACAGCTTGCACTAGAGTGTAAATTCCAACGAGGGAAGAGAAAGTCTTGTTCACTGTCATGTTTCCAGATCCGAGAACGGTGCCTAGAACGTAACATGTGCTCAGTCGTTATTTGTTGATGGAATAAATGAATATGTAACTATTACAGCCCCACTGGTGGTATTCAGGAGTGCCTGCTCCTCAGCTGCTGGCCAAGACCAGATAGTATCAATCTGCTTAAATATTTCCTAGTCACATTCTAAGCTCTATCTTAACAGGATGTTTCTGCTTTTTCGCACACCATCATGAGTGTGGTTGTGTATGTGACAGCAGTAACGTGGATCTGAGAGCTCCCCCAAGGCATGCAGTGCTGTGGGGGGTGTGCCGGGAAGGCACATGTCTGTGTTTGTGTTCACGTCCAGCACTCCTGCGTCCAGCACTGTGTCCCTCAGCCCTCTGAAGGGCCACTTCTCACTTGGCCTTTGCTCACTGTCTGCTCTGATGTCACCAGCTGCTGCTGCTTCCTGGGATGTGTGCTCTCCTGCAGTGGAGACAAGGGGAGTGTGTTCTAGAACCTTTGGAGTTGATCTCTGATGTTTTGAACTCCCTTCTAGGTACCTGTTTGCCCTGCAACTTAAGAGAGACCTCCTGGAAGAGCGTCTGAGCTGCACAGACACCACAGCGGCCCTCCTCACGTCCCACCTCCTGCAGTGTGAGTGTCTCAGTGCCTGGGCAAGACGTGTGTGACAGGCAGGCGGGTGGGTGGAACCAAAACGCAGGCATGTCAGGTCTCACATGTTGTGATCAGCTAAAGACTAACTTCTACAAGGGGGACTCCTGGAGGCAAACAGTCTGCACTAGGAAACAGGCTCGAGGCCCAGGCGTGGGCCACAAACCTCTTCAGAGTACGAGCCAGACTCTGACTCTCAGCACCCCAGAAAGACCTTCTTGGGGGACCATCACAGCCGCTCTGGTGACAAGTTAGGCATTAAACCCTGAAGGGAAAAGTGAACATTTCTTAGCATGTCACACAGAGCAAGAGATTGTTCGGGAGTCTGAAGAACCATAGCTGCTTCACAGATAACCGAGGCGAAGTGTCAGGAGAGGCTCTGACAGACAGGCGTGTGCTTCTCCAGCTGGCGGGATTGAAGGAAGGAGACACCCGCACTGCAGGCTCGGCCACGTCGTCCTGCCACAGAACGAATGTTTCTGAAACTTGAGTGCAGGAAGTGTCAGAAATTTTAGGAATTAATGAGTATGTGGGTTACTTTGCAATTTACTGGGTTCTTCCCCTGACACGCCTTCAGATAGCAAATTTTATCAATGGTTTGCCATCCTACTACGGGGTTTGTTGGCCTTCATTAAGATAAACTTTCAGAGTGACTTACCATATTTTGCTGTGTATGATGTGCACATTTTTGCCCAAATTTGTGAGAGGAAAATAAGGATGCACATTATACATGGGTAGTACTAATTCTGTATCTATCTAGCTAGCTAGCTAGCTATATAAATGTTTTTAATTCTTTTATTTACGCTTATGAGTTAAAAGTATAATAAATAAATAAATGCTAAGATTCCTTTATAATACAAAAAACAAGTACCTAAATATAAACAAATAAAAACTTGAATTTAAGAATTAAAACGAAAGATTTTTTTCTTGAAAGTTTGGACCAAAAATGTGGGTGCACATTATACACGGGAGCGTGTTATACACGGCAAAATACAGTAGTTTTTTTTAATTTGGCCTAAAGTCTTCTCAGGTAGACAGATGGCTTTTCGGTGCAAACTGCAAACTCATGTGGCCACTTGCCTGAGGGCTCTGTGTGCAGCTTAGTTATAATAGCTCTCCCGGCTCCGACTGCTGCCTTTGAAGGGGGCTCCCTAGATTGAAGGATGCTAGAGATATGACAGCCAAATGCAATATATGATGATGAACTGGGCCTTTATGCTATAAAAGACACAGGCAGTCTGTCAAATGTAGCTAGAGCCTGAGGCTTGGCTGTTGCTGCAGATCTGGGTCCTATCCTGATCTGGGTGGTGGTGCTGTACTGATGAGTGAGGATGTCCTGATTTGTAGAAAATTCATACTAAAGTGTGATACTATGTGTGCAACCTTTCTGTGAATTTGAAATTGTCTTGAAACAAAAAGAAGTATATTGCTTAAAATTATTGGGCTTCAACTACTATTTTTAAAACATTTATAGCCTGAAAATACATGAAATTAGAGACATTGTTTCTTAAGAATTTGAGAGGCCCTGAAGGAAAAAACATTTAAAATATATTATCCTAGGGTGGCCAGATGGTTCAGTGGTTAGAGTGTGCTCTGAACAACAAGCTTGCTGATTCGATTCCCGCATGAGATGGTGGCCTGTGCCCCCGCAATTAAAATGGCGACTGGACTTGGAGCTGAGCTGCGCCTTCCATAACTAGATTGAAGGACAACAACTTGACTTGGAGCTGATGGGTCCTGGAAAAAACACAGTTACCCAATTAGAAAAAAAAATTTAAAAATAAAATAAAATACATTATCCTTGTCACAATAGTCTTGGCACAACTTGTAGATAAAGTGTGGTTTAAAACCCGGACACTCGGTCCCGTGGCCGCTCAGCGTTTGCCTCCAGGGTCCCTCAGCTGCGTGTTTTGTTCTTCAAAATTCAAAACATTCTCCTCAGCTGTTGTTTATTTGTTTATATTATCTTTTAAAATATTTGGGGAAATCAAATATAAACTCTTGTTTATTTAAGGATATATCCTTTTACTACAGATTTAGGATACTATTTTGTACTTATAATTTGTGTATTGTACAAATACTTATATTTTTCTTTATTTAAAAATTAAAATAACTGACTTATTATCTCAGCGGAAATCGGAGATTATGATGAAGCCCTGGATCGCGAGCACCTGCAAGTTCACACGTACTTGCCCCATCAGGAGCGTTCTCTGGAGAAGATACTAGAATTCCATCGGAAGCACATGTGAGTCAGTGGGCCAGTCAGAATCAGCTGCCGCCCACCATCACTACAGTAACGCTAGTGGCAGAGCCGGCCCTCGGAGAGCTCAGCACGCTTCTTCAGTTGCTCCAATACTTGGCAGCCATGTTTTTCTGGACTGAAGTGAGGACGGTGCTGGAGGAGGGGGACCCAAGAGAGGTGGGGGCAGGGCCATGAGAAGGCGGAGCCATGGCTGGGGGCTGTGACCTGGGATTCACCAAGGGGAGCAACCCTCTCTGGCAGGGACCCTGGGTGATCTGGCCTTGCGCTTGCGAAGGAGCCAGTGAGGTGCCAGGTTATCCTGCCTGGCATCATGTAGGTGACCTTTGCAGAAGTCTGGGGCCTCCTGTCTGTCAGTCACTGCTGTCTGCACTGGGTGGGGTGGAGGGGACAGCACAGAGTAGGATTCCCAGTCAGGGACACTGCCCATTAGGACTGCACGTGCTCCTCCAGTGCGCTGCCACCCACCAGAACCAAGGGAGTGCCCTTTGTGTGCCCGGCACCAGGGCAGGCACTGCGTACACAGTAGATAGCTGTCACTGTGACACGTGAGCTAGGATGGCAGGCAGTAGGGAGGAACAGTGAGGACAGAAGGGGCGAGAGGATGCTGAGGGGGAGATCCAGGCACAGGCAGCAGCCAAAGACACTGGGGCAACCGACTGGCGGGAAGGAGGGCCCAGTGCAGCGCCCACAGTTGTGGTTTAACGGTAGAGCAGGTAGAAGCGCCCACTGCTGACGGGACTGCCCATGCCCATGGCGAGCCGCGCTCTGTGCCAGGCTGCACGTCATCCTCCAGCACCATGTGTGATGTGCTGTCACCACCGCCTCTTCATACGGTGAAACCAAGCCAAGGCCTGAGCTCTGTTTTGGGTGTGACAGTTTGGGGTGTCTCTAGGCGTCAGGCTTCAGCACCCCTGGGCCACCCTTACAGAAGCCAAGTATGGGGTCAGGGCTCCTTAGGGCTCTGGCTTTGTTTCCTGGATGCCCTTGGCTTGGCTTCTCTCAAGTGTTGCCTTCATTCTGGCTGGGAAGGTACAGCAGCTCCAAGTATCACACCCAGACCCTGAGGACCAGCCAGGCAAGAACCCTGTTCCCTTACCAGCCCAAAGGAGACGGTCACTTGTTCAGATCTGTCTCTGGAGTTGGAGACAGGGTTCCTTCCTACTGAGACACACAGAGCCAGGGCCAGACCCCTGGGGGAAGGGTAGGTGGGTGCTGCACTGTGCACTCCCCGCTCCCCATCCAGGAGCAGTGCCCAGGGGAGAAACGCATCTGGGAAGTGGGAGGTCAAGCCGCGCAGAGGGTGAGCTCGTCTTGGGAGAGGAAGGCGGAAGAGAGAGCGGGGCCCAGGACAGACCCTGAGGACCAGCCTGGGAGGACGTGTGGAGCAGGGGCCACCGCAGAGGCCATGGGGTCAGGGGACTGAGAAGCCTGAGGAGGAAGCGTGGAGCCGCGGACCATAGCCTCCTGGTTGAAGGCCCTGGCCGGACAGCACGTCCGGGCTCAGTGACATGACTGAGCCTGTGGGCCTCGGTGGCTTCAGGCAGAGTCAGGGTGGACACAAGCTCAAGAACAGTGAGAGTGAGGTGACGACAAGGTGACAGTCTGAGTGGTGACACTGAGAAGCCTGCTTGAGGGAGTGAAGAGCTAGATCTCGGGGAGGGCTGGGGGTCTGTGCACGTGTGTTCATGTGTGTGTCTGCCTGGGTGTGCTTGTGCGTTCATATGCATGAATGTGTGTGCATGTGTGTCCTTGTGTTTGTTCATATGTGCACATGTGTGTCACAGGGTGGCTGCTTTGAAAATTCTAGGAAGCCAGTAAGAGGAGAAGTCAGTGATGAGCTTTCCACAGGAGTGAAACTGGACTCCGTCGAGCCAGCCACAGTGTCCCCGGCCTGGCTGGCTGTCTCCGGCCCGTGCGGTCCTGATATGCTAGCTGTGTCTACCACCGTGATCATCGGAAATTTACTGCACGTCTGTCATTTCTTTTAATCAGTGTTGTGCCTTCATTTAAACCAATGAATTCTTCAGAGTTCAGACTTCTCCCTGACCTGCTGGAAACACCCTGTGATCCCTGAGCAGGACACTGAAGGCTTTTCTTGACTTTTACCATATTTCCTTTGGATCTTTGAGTTTGCAGAAAAAGATTCGAAAGCTGGTGTCACAGTCCATCTGGCTGCTAGAACAGACACCACTGAGAGGGTGGGTGCTTAGAGACAGCCGACATGTACTTGTCACCACTCTGGAGGCCGGAAGTCCAAGATCAGTGCGCTGGCAGCTGTGAGCCTAGTGGGGATGCGCTTCCTGGGTCTTAGCCGGCCTCTGTGTCCTTACACAGTGCGAGGGGTGAGGTCTGCCTGGGGTCCCTCTGATAAGGGCACTGACCCCATTCGTGAGCGCTCCACCCAGTCACCCCCAAAGGCCCACCTTCAAGGCCATCACAGTGGGGGTTAGGTTCAGCATAGGAATTTGGGGGGACAAACATCCCATCCATAACATTCCAACCCTGTTCCCCACAATTTATGTCCTTCTCACATGCACGTCACATTCATTTCACCCCGTCAACCCGCAAGTCTTAAGGTCTCATTCAATCGGGGGTGGGTGAGACCCCAGGGGCCATTTTCCCTGAGGCTGTATGCCCTCTGGCTGGACCTGTGAGACCAGACAGTGGGAGGGGTGTGGGATGGACAGCCCATCCAAAGAGAGAAATGGGGGAAAAGAGGGATGGGTCCCAGGCAAGCCCAAACCTAACGGGGTGAATGCCATTAAACCTTCAGGCTGGAGAGTAATCCCCCTTGGCTCAATGCTCTGCCCCCGAGACCCACTGGGCCAGCAGTGTCACCCCAGAAGGCCCTGCAGCAGCTCTCTGTCATGGCCCCACCCCCACCACAGCTCTCCCAGGCTGGGGTCACCCTGCAGCATCAGGCAGCCTGTCCTTTGGGACCTAGGTGGAGGCAGCCCTGCCCCATCGGATCCCTGCAGTCTGGCCTGTGATGGGAGGGGTAGCCTCAGGCTCCCCCTTCCCGTCCTGACTTCCTGGAGATGGCTTGGCCACCCTGATCTTCTTATCACGCAGTCACTGGGCTGCACTCTTCATGTTCTCCTTTTGTGCCATGTGAGTAGACTGAGAATTTTCCCAATATGTCAGTTCTGCATCTTCGTGCTTAACAAGTCCGTCTTTCAGTCATTTCTCTCTCATGTTTTACTCGAAGTCAGGAGGGGCCAGGCTGCACCTTCAATACTCTGCTTAGAAATCTCTTCAGCTAAATATCCACTTTCTTTGTTCTCAGTTCTACCCTCCACAAAACACTGGAGCACACCCACAGTTCAGCCCATTTTTCCTGCTTGTAACAAGGGCCGCCTTCCTGCAGTTTTCAAGAACATCCCTCATTCCGTGAGACGCCATCAGAAGGGCCCTCGCCGTCCACATTCCCACAACAGTCTGCTCATGGCGGCTTTGTTGTCCTGTCCTATAAGAAGGTTGAGGCTTTCCCTCCACTGCCCTCTTTTCTCTCTGGGCCACGAGAGTCGCCCTTACTGTTCCCATTTCCAGCCCCCAGTACACAGCTCCACAGCGTGTCCTCCAGACCAGGGCTTCCTGGAAAGCGGCTCTGTCACATTCCGGTTGATGATTTATGAAAATGTAAGTTGGTAGTCAGGTGTCTATATCAAATCAGACAGTGGAAATTTTAGTCACAGAATGGAGACCACAAGAGTGGCCTAATGCACAGTTTTGTTATTCCTCAAAGGCCCAAAGCTCGGGCATTTGGAAGTCGGAAGAAGGAAAAGAGTTATCAATGGGACATCCTGCGTGTAGGGTTCAGGCCTGGGACATGGGGCTCCTGACACTCCTTTTGCCCAGCTGCCACTCTGTCAGTGTCAGCCATCCGCCTGGAGGCCATGTTCCCGCGCTGGGGGCATGACCATGCACCGTGGACTTGGGAAACATGTGGGAACCTAGACATGGATAAAACCAGTTCTGCTGGTGATACTTTTATTCAGTTTTATAATTTCTTTCACATAAAAGAGTATCCTCATAGTTAGACTGTACATCACAAAAGTACTTCTTTAAAGGATGAAAAGGGGTCAGTGAGGTGCTAGTGTTATCTGTGGTATTCCCTCTATTTAATATTAGCTTCCACGTGTCATGTCTGCACATTCCCTCGTCAATATTGAGAACAAATTAAAAAGCTGAGCATCTGGTGAATGCAGAGCAAACACCCTACTCCATGGGAAGAGACTGCGGAGCAGAAGGAAGGGGACACTCGTCTCCAGTCTTCGATATAGTCTGTTGTATTTGAAGGGGGTAAAGTCACCGCGGGTGGTTGACCGCGGAGAAGCGAAGCCCCCTTCGCTGGTTTCTTTAATCCCGCTTTCCTGATCACTTTGGTACATGTTTGGCTCTTTCAGAAGCGGAGTTGTTTTCAGTGCTGTAATCATATTGTCTTTTATCACAGGGGCCAGACGCCTGCTGAGTCCGATTTCCAGGTGCTCGAAGTTGCCCGAAAGTTGGAAATGTACGGCATCAGGTTTCACAAGGCTTCCGACAGGGAGGGGGCCAAGATTAACCTGGCCGTTTCCCATATGGGTGTCCTCGTGTTCCAGGTAGGAAGGGCAGGGAGCAGCAGCGGTGGGGCGTTCTTCCATACACTGCTAAATTTTTGTTTTGATGAATAAGGTCTTGGACTGGGAGCTTTGCATGTCACCTGATCTGACCTCTGACCCAGCAGAGAAATTGTGTCCTTGTCCTCCTCACTGTCAGGGACGCACTGCCCCTCAGGGCACCCAGCCCACTGTTCCTTCTCGTGTTGAACCAGAGATCGCCCCTTAGAGCCAGAAGCCGAGACTGGCCCTTCCTGGAGCAGCCTCTATGCCATCTGCTGGACCTGCTGCACGGAGAGGCCTCCGCAGTGGGTCACAGTCGTCATTTCAGTGAATGAGATGGAACACACTAGAAAATACCTGAGGGTGCTGCCTATGGGAACACTCAGTGTGGTCTCAGGGAATTTTGTCTCAGCTGTGCTTGGACAGGTAGATATTACATAAATGGCCACTGAGTTCTAGTTGTAGTTACATGTGTACTGGGGTTGGTGTCGCCGGGTCTGATAGCTCCTGGAGCACAGGCCCTTTGCGTCTCCAGAGATGGTGGGCAGACGCCGCAACCCTCTTACCCAGGTAACTGTCCACCTCTGGCTGTGACCCCTCGGGAGCTCCCCAGTCACTGGCCTGTGTCAGTTGTTCACCTCTGGTTGAATGCTGCAGCGGCCTGAGGCCTGCTCGCCATGGACGCCCGGGAACCTGCACTGGCCCCTCTTCCATCTGCGGCTCCTTTTCACCTGTGGTCACCTGAATGGCTGGTCTTCAGGCTCCCTAATCAGTCACGCTTGTTTGTTTTTTCTTTACCTAGCCTTCAAATTTCTGTGTCCTGTCAGAAAAAAATTTAATTTTGAATTTAGAATGGTAATTGTACTAAATGCTGTACTAAACGTGATGAGAGAACAGTAAATTCCTTGGTAGAGGCAACTACCCACACGTGTCATCTTTCCTGCATTGCTCAAGATGCCAGTCGCACGTCCACCTGAGTCCAGCTATTGTCATTTTTCATAATTTATGGCCGGAGTGAGTTAGAGACTTCAAATTAGAGATGGCTGATTGAATTTTTTTTCTACTCCCTCAAGACCTCCAACAGAACAACAGTGAAAGAATTGTTTTTCTTTTCAAGTTTAAATCAGTAAGAACAAAGACTAGAAAAGGAAACCACAGAACATGAAGAATATCAGCAAACTTTTGGAAGTTGGGAAATGGGTAGATGAGTGGAAAAGGCTGAAATGCAGTGGCCTGCAGTGGGAATGTTGGGAGCAGTCCCCAGGAGTGGGGAGCGGCACCTCTGACAGTCAGGCAGGCTGAGGCTGGAGACGGAGATCTGCTTTCGTCTGTGTATCCTGTGAGGAGTGATCACACCCTGGATCTGAGCCAGAGCAGCCCCTCCCAGCCCTGGAAGAGGGCAGGAGTCTTCCTCTCCAGGGTGCAGCTCAGAAGGTGGAGGTGTCTCACCGAACCCCCACTGGGGTCTCAGGAGAAGGCTTGTAGTCTGAATGATGCGACAATCCCTGGGAATGCCAGCAGGCTGCCATCTGGAAGGCAGGAGGCGGTGCTCCGGAGAGTCTGACCAGCCTTCCAGGAACCCCACCAATGCCGGTGCTGGGCCCCACCCAGCCCACAGCTGCCAGCCAGCATTTTAGTCCCTCTCTGAAGGGCTTGCAGACTTAAGAAATGGTAAAAATTGGGATGATACGTAGACCCCATGTGCTCTTCACCCCGATTCAGCTGTTATGGGCATTTGACTCCCTTTCCTCTGCACACCTGAGCGTGCGGAGCACACGTGCACACACGCACACATATAACGTTTTTTCCTGAGGGTGTGAAAGTGTATTGCTTGTGAGGAGTGGGAACACTTCTCTATCAGACGTGTGAAACTCTTATCTTGTAACTTTTCATTCTAGCCTCACTTGTAATAATGAAATGTTAGTAATTAACTATGAAGAGGCCGGTGAAATAAACAATGGAGCGTCCATGTTAGGGACTAGGCGACTGTACAAAGAATGCGGAGGCTCTCTGTGTCCTCGTAGGAGACAGTCTTTGAGATGTATTGTTGCATGGAGAAAAGATTCAAAACTGTGTTCAGTTTTCTTGTGGGAAAAAGAAGGAAAATTACACACACTGTTGATTCCACTGTAAGTAAATGGGTGGCACTAGTCGCCTCGAGGAAGGTGATGGTAGCTGGCTGGCTTTGGGATGGGGTGAGAGGGAGACCTCACGGTGGACTCGTTTTGGTACCTGTAGAATTTGAACCTTAATGTATTAACTGTGTTACATGTTCCGAAAAGCCTCACAGACATAAGAGAAAACCTTGCATCTTGAAACAAGAGCAGAACACAAAGGAACATAGGAGAACAAGAGTGCAGGTAAAAATGTGAGAACAAAACGACAGTGTCGGCAGAGCAAGAATGTTTGAAAGATGAAGTTGAGGAAGTCTCCACACAGCAGAATAAAAGATGAAGGACGAAAGATGGGAGAGAAAAGTAAAAAAAATTACAGGAGCGATCCAGGGGATCCAATACCCAGGAATTCCAGAGGCAGGAACCAAAACACAACAGGGGAAGCTGTTAGACAGTACATGAGAAAAAAATTCAGAACTTAAGACACGAGCTTCCAAATTGAAAATGCCTTTGTGATTTTTTGTTTTGAGCAAAAGAGAAAGTGGAAAGGCAAGCAAGCAGCTGGAAGCAACTCTTTTGTTGCTATTTTGTGTTTGGGTTGTTTTATTTGTTTGCTTTTTTTGAGAACATCATTGAAAATCCTCCAATATTTTACTTTGAGTAGAAATTAGAGTAATTTAGAGTTTGGGTCTTATTGGGGAGCTAGGATGCTCAGTTTCTCAGTTAGACCCCGACATGTGTATCTTGACTTTGAGGACATCTCTTAAATCAGGAATCTTTTAAATTGAGATATAACTCACATACCATAAAATTCACCATTTTAAAGTATCCATTTAGTTCTTTTTAGTATATTCACATAATTGTGCAACCATCACCACTGTCTAACTCCAGAACCTTTTCATCACCCCCCCTCCCCACACACAGCCATCGGCAGCTCCTGACAACCTCTTCTGCTTTCTGTCTTTCTGGATCTCCTCTAGACATTTCACATGGGACCGTACAGTCTGGCTCTGTCCTTATTTTCGGAGTCGGTCCATGTTGTACCATGTCTCGGTGCCTCATTCCTTTTATGGCTGAGATTTGCTTTTTTTAGTCCCTCCAAAGGGAAGACATTCTTTACCTGCTGTCCCCGTCTCGAGTTTGCACCAGGGAGTCAAGAGCAGAAGAGAAAATGCCAGAAAAGGTCTTCAGTACTTTTAAAGTTTTCATGTTGAAACAATTTCGAGCTTACAGAAAAGTTACAAGTACAGCACAAAGAGCTCCTTCAGCAGAGACCCTCCCCACCCCCATCCAGATGTTACCAGTTGCCCCATCTTGTTTATTTCAAAAGATCTGATCTGGCCTCAAACAGTGTGTCCAGTCATTAGGTCTCCCTCGTCTCTTCACCCGGGAACTAACTTCCTCCTCTTTTTGATTCTCATGACCTGCAAGGTTTGGAAGGTTACAGGCCAGTCATTTTCTAGAACTGACCATAACATAACATGGGCTTATCTGGTAGTTGCTGACGATCAGACCCTGGCTGAGCTCCTCGGGCAGGAACATCACAGAAGTGATGACGTGGCCCCTGGTGTCCGTCTGTCCTGGTGGTATCGACCTGGAGCTTCTCTACTGCAAAGCTTCTTTTTATCCTTTGCAGCTAATAAACATTTTGTAGGGAGAGACTTTGGAACTATATGAATATCGGCACCTCCGTCCCACCGTCTCCTAGTTGGATTAATATGGTGGCTGCCTAAAGACGACTTTGTAAATTCCATTCTTTGTGCTCCTAGAAGGGTTTTCTCCCCATTTGTTTAGTTTCTTTATATCACTGTGGACCCATGGATTTATATTATAATCATATGATAATTCACATTGTACTACAGATTGTAATCTGATCCTTGATAATCTGTTGTCATTATTTAGTTTGATCTTCAGATGGTCCCACATTTGGCCATTGGGAGCCCCTTCCAGCTGACTCCTGTGTTCTTATGACATGTTCCCATCAGTTTTGGAGCACTTGTTCACTTCCTTCACACAACGGAAGATTCCAGGTCCTTTTTGTACTTTGCCTGCTTTACCCTGGAAGACCAAGAGCCCTGGTCTTGTCAGTGGAGAGCAGGAGTTAGAAACCCAGAGCCATGTGCTAGGTGAGCCCATGGCTACTTAGAGTGTCAGGAGCTCACATCATGCGTTCCAGGCAGCACCCAGACCCCTGCTAGCTGTCCTGCTTTCCTCTCAGGAACTTGGCTGGCCTCTCCCCTTGCCCCTTCCTGACCACCCTGCGTGCAGCGGTGGGCTTCAAATATTTAATACTAGCATTGATTAAAAATAATTTGTAATAAAGCCTTAGCAAAGAAATCAAGTTCTCTTTCGAAGACAGATTAGTATATAGAAGTGAAATTTTAATTCAGTCATTCCAAATATAATTGTAAAATACCACATGGGGTGCTGTGCTGTCTGGCAAGGATGTAATTTAAACATTCTCTAGTTGGTGAGAAATTGTGTGTGCCTGTGTCTAGGTTACAAATGTCTTCCTAAGTGTCCTTTTCTTGAATTTCAGAGCACCACCAAAATTAATACCTTCAACTGGTCCAGGGTCCGCAAACTCAGCTTCAAGAGGAAAAGATTTCTAATCAAACTCCACCCAGAGGTCCATGTAAGTATTATTTTGAGCACTTGTTAAACTATAAGAGAATTTGTTCTGCTGGGATATTGAGTGATGGAATTACTTGACAATCATTACCGCATAACGCACACAGGAATTTAAGGGCAAGTTCGAGTTAGGACCTACCGGGCCCAGCGGGCCTCCCCGTGAGGGTGCTGCAGCTGGGGGTTCAGATTTGGCAAGTCTGGGGTGGCCCTGGAACGTGCCTGTCTGACAGTCCCCCAGGGGCTGTTGAGACTACTGGCTTCTTGCAGCCTCTTTGTTCTCCAGGGAAGGAAGCTGCACTAAGTGTCAGCTGTGAGCCAAAGCCCTAGCAAGCCAGGGGAGAGCTTCTGTCCAGGGAGAACAGAGGGGCGCTCCCCATATTCCCATGTGGCTTAGATTTAGAAATCGATCCTCTAATAGCTCTAATTGAAGGAGTCTTGATTTTTCAGAAAATAAATATTTCTTTCTTTTGGGATTTTCAGTCAGTAAAATAATACTTGCATATGAATTTACTGAAATGGGTAAAAATGGAAAAAGGTAAATGTCTATACAATCTGATATTTGGGGAAAACCCATTACTTCAAACTATTCAGAGATGTTCAAATTGTCCCATTTCCAATGTACAAAGGAAGTTAGGAAATAAAGTATAATGATTAGCTGAGCCATGGGGGGGGGGGTGGAAGCTAAGAGACCGCATTAGCTCCCACTGAGTGGAGGGAGATAAGAGCCCGGGAACAATCTAGAAGAAAGGCTTGACCTGAGCTTCTAAAGACACTGATTAGCAAGGGCCTTTGTCGAAGGCCTGAAAGGATGGTTTCGTTGTTTGTTATTCAAATGTCTCTCCTGGGAATGAAAGGAAAGTGCAAGAAATGCCAGAACATACAAAATGCCAGTAAAAAGCTGCTTTTTCTCTGTAAGTAAAAAAAACTGTTTCCGACAGCTACTCTGTAAAAATAGGGAAAGAGGAGAATCGCTGCTCAGTACACCAAAGCAGCTGTTAATTGGATAGCCTAACATTTCAAAATTCAGACCTATGTCTGTAGCTGCCTTTGCAAAATTATATTTTATTCCCCTAAGCACTTAGATTTTTAAGACTAATTACAGGAGTCAGAGTATGATAGTCTTTCTGGAAAATAATTGGCTAATGCGTATCACGAGGTTAAAACTCTGCCTCATGCCTGAGCTCAGTATAACATTTCTGGTACTTTGTGCTAAGGAATAACCCTGAGAGGTGATGTAGTAGTTTCCCTCATGGTGATGTTTGTGAGCCCGAAAAACTGCATGTCCTGAACGTCCAAGACACCTCAAAGCCCCACAGGAAAGCGGTTCCATAGAGACAGACAAGTGTGTGTGCCGGCGTGGAAGGGCGCCGGAGTCAGCCAGGTGTCAGCAGGTGTGTGACTGCGCACGAGTGCAGCTTTCTGGTCGTCTCACAATGAATGTGTACATAGTGCTTTTCTTCTCTTAAACATAAATGGAACCAGAAGTCTGTATATGTACAGTTTTCCTGAAAAACATCTTCCTAATTTTTAACGTTGGAATAGTCTGTTGTCTGACCTGCTTCCTAGATTTTATTCTTGAATTAGTTACTTGAACCTTTGTATTTTGTTTCTAGGGACCTTACCAGGACACACTGGAATTCTTGTTGGGTAGTAGAGATGAATGTAAGAACTTCTGGAAGATTTGTGTGGAGTATCACACCTTTTTTAGACTTTTTGATCAACCTAAGCCAAAAGCTAAAGCCGTCTTCTTCAGCAGGGGCTCCTCCTTCCGATACAGGTGGGGCCACGCCACACGGCTCCGGTGCCTTGTGGAGCTGACAACAGAAATGTGCCTAGTCTTCAAAAAGGGTCGCCAGACGTTTCAGAGAATTACATACAGAAGGCAGCTATTGGAAAACTGGAGAAAGCATATCAGATAAAATAGTGGGGAAAACAGGCTGAGTAAAAACTTGGTTTGGAAAAGCAGTTATACTTATTACAGAGCATAACTTTAAAATGTGTACGTAAACCTATGAGAGAGGCAGGGCTCAACTGACTGTCCTTTGCCTTTGTGAAAAATTAATGCTGTGAATTACAGTTCTTTTCTTTAAAATCTGAACCTGTATTCACAGTGGAAGAACTCAGAAACAACTGGTAGATTGTGTCAAAGTCGGCGGGATGAAAAGAATCCCATATGAAAGGTAAGCTGTTTGTGATTTAAAGTGTGTGCCTTTAGAATTAATATTTTAAGTATTTTTCACCTTTATTTGAATAAAAATTTCAAATACATAGACATGTATTTTGACACTTGAGTTCTGTTTCTTTTTTTAAGATAATGGATTTGTAATATGTTTATAAACAGATATTACTTTCAGTTTCTTTTCTGTGTAGCTTAGCTTACATAGAATGTTTTACATAGTATGGTAAACTTCAAATCTGAAAATTCACATTGTTTCTTTGCACGTGGAATTTTTCCTTCAGTGTCGGGGGATGGCTTTACCTTTTCTGGGACATCTGTGTTTTATTTGAACCATTGTTTTCTGTAATCCTGTTCATTTCTAGTTATATGCCTCATGGCATGTTACCAGTCTTAAATCACGTTTTTATGTGAGATCTGCTCACAGGCACAGCACGTGCTGCTTTAAAAACAGGAATCAGGAGAGGAGGGCTTGGTGGCTCACAGCTTGTTCTCTGTTTGCAGAAGACACAGCAAGACTCGGATGTCCGTCCGGACTCTGACTGCAGACTTGCCAAAGCAGGTTAGTCCTTCTGGTTGAAATAGACACACTATCGGTCACATGCATTTTTGCAGAAAATAATCTGGCAGTGTTGTAACAAGAGTCCTAAAGTTCGTTGTGTCTTTTGCACAGCAGTTCCAGTCCTGGGAGTCCTAAGTAAGGGGAAAGCTCTGTGCAGAGACGTGTGTCTGTAACTGGTCGTCGCGGATGCCCCGCGCAACCACATCTGTGCTGGGTGACTCACCAGCGTAGTGTGGCATGTGTCTATTTCATGGACTACTCAAGAGCCATTAAGAGCCTTGTTTTAGAAGAATAGTGCAACCAGGGACACATGCAAACTATGTTTCTAAGTGAAGCGAGCAGGTTGCGAAGTGGCCTGTGTAAAGTGATTCTCAGTGTCTCTGTAAAGAGACGAATAGATATATGGAGAAAACAGGCTGGAGCAGTAAACCTCACGATGACCAAGTGATAGGGTTCCAGTCACTATTTTTCTGGTCACTGTCAGCAATTTTTATTTTTCTCTTTGTGCTTTTCATTTATGTTAGTTTCCTGCAGTGGACATATACTGCTTTTTCTTGTCAGGAAAACAACTGAGTGAATATTACTTTCATAAGAGCTTGACACAGTGTTAAATGCCACTTAGGGAAATGATTTACCTAATTAAGCTGGATTCCTTAAATGGCCTTTTTTTGCTACTTAAGGCTGAAAACCAGGAAACAATTTATATCTCTAGGTGTTTGGGCATGATTACAACTGTGTTAAAACAGAATACAACACAGACACACACAAACACTTCACAGAAAATCATTTGGCCACAGTGTCCCAAAATGTGATAACAGCAGTTCTGTGCCACTATGAGGGGACACCAGTGACCATCCTGTGTTTCAGATCTACATCACTGTAATCGCTTCCTATTTCCATAGTAACTTTTCACATGCAAGCATGTTTTCAGGTAGAACCTTACTCTTTTTGTGGAATAACATAACTGTTTCCTCATGCAGCTATATAGTTTCATATTTATAATTTTTTATTTCTCTACAAGGTTAGTTTTTGTTGACAATTTGTCGTTTATTCCATTAAAGTTTTTCCAGAAGCTACACTTGTACCTCATATATTAAACCTCATGTGTCCCAAACTTTGTTTTTTCCTTGAGTCTTAGATAAAAATATTTTTTAACTCTTCTAGGTATGTTTCCTGTTTAGGAATTCCTTGTTACGTCAATTGAAATTAAAATAATTTATTTTTGTCTCTTTAACAAAGTTCAAATTTATGAATAGTCTAAAATAGTACAAATAGTCTAAAAATTATATTTAAATTTTTAGTTCTCTGATATTAAAAGCCACATGGTTAAGTGGTTAAGAAAAAGTGATAGTATGACATTTGAAAGCACTAATCTTACGGGCTGTGAGCTGCTGTGTTGTTCCTGAGAGGTTAGTCACTTGGCCTCTACTGTTACATCCGCTTGTGTTGTGCTGTTCCCTGCACACAACGTTGCTGTCTGGTTATGTTTTGGTCTAACCACCCTTTTGATGTTGTGTGTGTACCTGGGGTATCAGGCTTTCTGGAAGCATGACTGTGCCTCAGTGACCATGACATACCAGTGGAGAGGGCTCACGGCGAGTCCTTGCATGTGGGACCATGGGTGAGGACATGGTGCAGGGCGCCCGAGGGGCAGCGAGTAACAAACGCAGGGGCTACTTGGCGTCTCTGGCCACCGTCCCTTCAGTACTGGGGCCACTCTAGCGCCTCCGAGACGCCTTGGGCCCCCATGCCATCGGCACTGGCCAGCAGCATCGCTGCATCCCTGGCAGTGACCCTGTGACAAATGAGTGCCAGGGGCCGCAGAACCCTGCGTGTCTCCCTGTCAGCACTTTGCTTTAGGATCTGTGAGCTGAAGGGATGGCTCACTTCTCTCGAGCTGTCTTTTACCCCTTGGGGAAACTATGGCTGACACGAGGTGCCCGGGAGACATGACTACACGTGCCTGGTTTGGAGTGATGGCTAGTTTCCGTGCTGCACACATTTGCTTCCATAAGAGAAACAACTGGAATTACAAGGGATTATAGGCTGATGGTCCGAGTTCTTTTGGGATCCTGTCGGCATTACAGATCTTCAGTTCTAAAGGGAGTCTGATCAGCTGCCTTCTTTATAGAAGTTGTAATTGTGATACAAATGTGTGGCTGTACTACTTAGGGCCCACTTTACTTTCTGATGGTAATGTGTGAAATTATGTTCCCGTTTTTCTTTTCTTGATTTTGATCCCCAGAGCATCTCATTCACCGAGGGCATGAGGACTTTTTCGTCCCCATCTTCAGCAAACACCTCCTTCTACTCGGTCCCCGCCTCCCCTCTGGCCCCTCCTGGCCTGCCTGATTTCAAGGACAGCAGCGGCTCCATAGCAGGGCCCCAGGCTCCCCATGTCAAGAGGCCGGCCGCAGAGAGGAACAGCGGAGCCCTGGAAGCCCCCGACTCGACACCGACCCAGCTCCCCGGGCACCCTGCGCTCCAGTCTTGTCAAGGTGTTGGGTTTTGTCCTGGTGTGAGGAGTGGCAGCCCCAGCAGTCCCGTGGGGCACGCTGGCACCGCCTTAGGCCTAGGTGCAGTGGGGGCTGGCAGGGAACACAGAGCCGCTGGTCGAAGCGACCGTGGGGAGGGCAACTTGACGGTGGGCTCATCCCACTCCAAGGGGGAGCAGCTGTGTGGCCGGCCAGGCAGTGGGGGGACCCCTGTTTTCACATTGACAAACGCCCAGCTGCAGGTGTCGGAGGAGTTCATAGATGACGACCCGGCAGACATCTCTTTCTTTGCCGGGGGCTCCGAGGCCTTCTCTTTCCCATACCGCAGTTTGGCCCTGCAGGCCCCTTCGTGTGGCCGCCCGGGCTCTGCCCCGTCCAGCCCTGACAGGTACTCCCCCGAGGCAGCGCCCGTGCGCGGGGAGCACGGCTTTGAATTTGAGGAGGAGCGTGGCTTTGGCGGCGATGTGCACCCCTCAGATACGTCGGAACTGTTTGAGGTGAAGGCACAGGCCAGCCTCATGCACAGCCTGCTCAGCCCGTCCGAGAGCAGCTCCCTCAGGAACAACCGGTCCGAGAGCAGCTCTCTCAGCAACCTCCCGCTGCCCGGTTTGTCTGTACGCACGCCCAGCTCCGCCGAGCAGTCCGAGGCCAGCTCCATGGCCAACTTCCCCGCCCGCTCGCTGCGCTCCGAGGCCAGCTCAGCCTTCCAGTTCTCTGACCTCGTGGACCAGTTAGAGCACCTCAGCTACCCACCCACGGCAGCCGAGGACTCCAGCGGCTCAGACACCTACTCCTGGGGCTCCGAGGCCGAGGGCCCCCTAGACATGAGCCTTTTGTTCAGCGGCCCGTTTGCACAGACAAGCGGGGAGAGAGTCGTTTTCAGTTTGCAGAGTAACATACAGGATCTGAGTCAGGGGAGCGGATAGGTGGAAAGCCGTGTTTTCAAAGGATCCCTGCCAGCTCCTTTACAGGATGGGTCCACCTGCTCGGTGCAGTGAGAGCTCAGATTGTCAGCTTCAGGCGTCAGAGCGACTGCCCACTACTAGGGAGCTTTTCTCTTCCTAATTCTCTGATTCAGTTTTCTGTTTTGAATGTCACAGGATTAAAACTGTCATTCGGAACAATGTTTCAAATGGTGCATCCAGTTTAAATAGATGAGTATCTCCGGCTGTCTTCCTGGGAGCTGAGGGGTTGGTCTTTGCAGCTTCATTGTGTGGCATGTGCTTCGATCCAACTGGAAGCCGCCGCCGTCCACTCTGTGTGCCACACAGACTTCATCCATGTTGGTGTTTAATAGAATGTGTGTAGTCTGCCTGTTGATGCTGCTTTTTAAGATGAGGTGTGCGGCCACCATGGATGGGGGAGGGGAGGTTTGTTTGATTGTCAGGCCGCCACACACAGTCTCGAATGAGCCAGCTCCCGGGACAGTGGCGCAGGCTGCTGCCTCCCGTGTGTGGTCTTCAGCTGCACGCACTGTGGCCCCTGAGACTGCCCGGGGTGTCAGTGCCAAAGGTATCATCCCATTAATGACTTTAGACCCAGAAATAGTGTTGTGTTTCAATAGCAGGCTTGGTGGGACATTGGTTTAAAACACAACTGAACTGTTAGCTACTTGGGGTATAATTCCTGTCGGGTTGCAGGAAAAGCAGAGCCAGACACTGCGGTCAGCCTGAGAGTCGCAATGTGAGCTCGCCCAGAGAGCCGTCTCCTTTGGGCTCCCGGAGAAGGTTGTTCACTAGCGAGACTAAGCACTGGGACCCCCAGATGGTGAGGGCTCACCCTTTCCTTCGGGATGTTTCCTATAGGCCAGGGGCCGTGGGACACACGGTCACTAGCCAAGGCCGTGGCACAGGCCACATGAGCAGCCAGCTGAGGTGGCCACGCAGGCACCCGCGGTGGTGCGGCCTACCCCACTGCAGGAGGGACTGGTGCTCACAGGGCCTGCATGTGACTGTCCACCTGCAGACATGAGGGGCACCGCTGGGGGCCAGCCCAGGCCTCAGCACACCAGCCCTGGACAGACACTTGCATTCGTCACGGCCATGCCTTGGGCTTCGTCTTTGGGGTTCTGTCATTTATACCTCTGGTCTTACCTAGTAGAGCAATGCCATGTTTGAAGCTTAACTTTCTTCCCAAATGTCCCAGGGTGACGTTAAGCCTCCCACCTTCGCTCCTGGGTGGTGCCCTAACTGCCTGGATGGCTGTGCTGTGTGTGCTCAGCTCACCGAGTGCTCGGGGCCTCTCAGAGCTGCCCTAGGCCTCTTGTGAGGGTCAGTCAGTACCAGCCTGGGTTTTGCCTAAATGTGTTGAGGAAGCTCCCATTTTTGTAGCTGCCTTAAGCTGACACACAGTCTCACCATGTCCTGGGAGTGTGTGCAGCTGTCATTTGTCCCGCCCGTGTCCCTCAGACCCACCTCCTCTGCACGATGAAGGCTCTTGTAGGGTTTAGCTGATGACGTGACTGTTGGTAAACGTGATGTTATTAGAGTAGCATGTTCGGGACATTTTGGTTTTCCCTTTGTGTCACTCAAAAAGCAAACCTTGGATGTGTGTGATGAGAAGTCACTGTATTACGTGTAGAATGCTTCTCCTGGACCTCAGTGGTCACATGATGTCTTCCTCTCTCCTTCCTCTGTTGTGCCTAATGGTGCTCTGGATGAACCAAGTGGTCTTTTTTTGGCTTTTTTGTTGTTTTTTTTTTAAGGGAACCCACCTCGTGTCTGGGCAGCAGGTCAGATGTGGTGGCTTTGAGCAGCTCTGCTGCCAGGCTGGGGTGATGCTCCCTGGTGCAGCCAGGGCTGCCAGTCGGTGGGGGCGCATCCATCACACTCTTGTCCCAGAGATCTGAAGAAATTCTGTTCAGACATCTTCCCAGGCCTCCCTGTAAAAGGGTTTCGTTTCGTTTCTTCAGTGAAACTTTATTTTCAGGAGATGATTTTTTTAGCTTTTTGTTTAGAAGGGTTTCCAAATATACAAAAGCGGGAAAGCAGAAAGGAGTAGAATTAACGAACCCCTGTCCCCCTCCCCACGCAGCGTCTCCAATGCTTGACCACACGGGTGCCCTCCACCCATTGCTTCTCTGTGCTTTGTTGCTGTAGGATTTTTTTCTTAATTAAAGTTTATTGGGGTGACAGTGGTCAACAAAACTACATAGGTTTCAAGTGTACATTTCTATACTACATCACCTATATGTTGCATTATGTGTTCACCACCCAGAGTCAGTTCTCCTTCCATCACCATATACTTGACCCCCTTTACCCTCATCTACCACCCCCTCCCCCCTTACCCTCTGGTGACCACTAAACTGTTGTCTGTGTCTGTGAGTTTTTGTTTATTTGCTTGTTTTGTTCCCTTGTTGCTTTCAGTTTTATATCCCACATGTCAGTGAAGTCATATAGTTCTCGGCTTTTTCTGTCTGCCTTATTTCACTGTAGGATTTTCAAGTGGGTCCCTGACATGCTGATGCCCTTCCTCAGAATTTCCGCATGTTCTACAACATAAGGACACCTCCCATAACCCCACGCAGACAGTATCGCACGGAATCAGTAACCCCTCAGTGTCCCTAATAATGAGGACATACTTAGGTTTGCCCCGTTGTCTGAAGTGCCCATTACCATTTGCTTTGCTTAAGTCGGTATCCAGATACCATCCACTTGCTGCCTGTGGTGAGAGCTTCTTTTAGGGGACCCCCTTTCATGCTATGACTTGTAGAAGAAGCCAGTGGTCTTGCCTCGGGTCCCGCAGCCTGGCCGCCCCTCAGGCCCCTGCACCTCTGGAGGCTCGACCTGGAGCTGCGCTGACCACTCGCCCCTCACTCACAGCAGCCATGTTCCCACAGCCCGCTGTGGCTGGCGCCTCCGCGTGGGATAGCCCAGCTCTAGGGCGAGCCCAACACCCCAGACGCTGTGGACACTGTTGGTGAAGGTGTTATTTTCAGATTCAGGTTCAGCTTTTAGCACGATCTGAGGAAATTTTTAACAGCTCTCCTTTCCCAACGTGTTCATGATATTTTTAAGTTTACACTTTTTCCTTTATAAAGAAATCATGTATTTAAAAATCAGTTGTGGCTTTCTTTGGAGTTATTGCTCAGGGCTCCCCACTTACACTTTTGAGTGGGTTGTAAACCCCCCACCCACCCACCCAGAGGGAGTTTTTTAGAAAGCAGGGGAAAGTGAGCCCAGAGGACCACGTTGCCTCTTCACATCTGTAGTGACATCGTTCCACTTTATCTTGGTAGAAATGGTTTATAGTAAATGTTCAAATATCCGGAACAGTTCAGATCGAGGCCTCCAGGCCCGGGGCCAGCCTTCTGCCTTTCTTCTGTTTGCCGATGGCTACTGATGCTGAAAACCCCTGTGTTATGCAGCGACATCACCTGGGGCGGCAGGGGGCCTATGCCAGGTTACAGGACGGTTTGTTCAAACTTGAATGAAACATGAGACTTGTAACCACACTTCTTACATCGGCAGCCAGTTTGCTGAGAGTGTATAGTTGAAAAGTGCCTACAAAGTGTTGACAGTTTTCTCTCTTATTCTGTTGATCTCTTTAGCTAGACCCAGGGCCTTCTACAGATGGTGGCAGCTGACAGCAGTCCTGCAGCCATCCCCACCCTGCAGGGCCCCGGCACACAGTGCCTCTTGTCCCTCTTAAGTCCACCTCTAATGATACACTCTGATTTGGGGCCAATATTTATTTTTGTTAGTTATCAAGTCTATTTTTGTGTGTAAGCTTCCAAGTGCAGGTACTGTATGTAAGCCAGTATATGAATGTTAAGTCTAACAGCAGTACAGTTTCATGTCACAAAGACTGACACTAAAATAGGTAATGGTGTATGCTATGTAACTTTTTTAATCATTTGGCCTTTTTTATGTTACAAAGGAATTCTCTAAGTGTGGAATTCAATTAGGAGTCCCTTTTCCACTGAACACACATTTGAAAACAGTAATGATAGAAGGTGGGCAATAAAAATAGTACACCAAAAACAGTTCAATATGAAAAACCTA